CAGGCATTTAGTAGTGATAGTTAAGTTTAGGGCAAGAGGCTATGGAATGCATTATGTCATTGAATGTCCTCAAAACTTTAGTAAGACCCATCTCTGTGTGTTTGTAGAAAGAGATTAAATAAATTGACATTATTAAATATGCTTTAATACTATTACATTGATTACTTCCATTGACTTGTATTATTGCCACAGCCAATTGCAGCTACCTCAGTTTAAGTGTTGTGATGTTTTTACTTTGCTGTTGATGTTATTTGGCATGTTCCATCATACAGTACATACAGGTCTTCAGTCTGGTTTCTCAAGACAAAGATGTTAAGCCACACTATCTTGCTCCTGGTGACTATTCCATCGGTGTGTGTGTCCGTCCTTAGGAGTGCAAATGGTTGACTGGGAAAATTGTGTGAAAACGCTTTGAGTGTACTGCAACACATAGAAAAGCTGTACAGCTGTGCTGTACAACTACAAGTCCAGAGCAGCGTGTTAGCAGCTGCTGTGGCTTAGTTGCTTAAAGCACCTGCCAGGTAAAGAGGAGATCCTGGCTTCAGCTCCCCTGCAGTGTTGTCTGGCAATCTTTAGGAATCACAATGTAACAGATCACTCTTAACGCGCAAATGTGATCTGTATTTATTGCTTTTTTTGTGAATTTCTTGGAGAAAACAAATTAGCCCTAAAGGGTGAATAGGAGGCCCTGGGCTGGAATCACAACAGTGCCTTTTATGAGTGCAGGGACATTTGTGATGTTCATAAAGCTGCGGAAATACTTGCTTTTAACTACACGTTTGTGCTACCGTGTGCATTTATGGCTATTTTTCAAGGCTCTTATATGGGTCATCATTTCCCTCACTTGCATCTTTTCCTTGCAGTTGAACGGTTTGTGCTTCAACAGGAACCGTGAATGAACTGAACTGTTTGAACCAAACCAAATTCTGGAACCGAGCTGAACTCTTGACAGAGTGCTTAGTGTAAAGGGGGGAAGTCAAAGGAAGAAAAAGTGAATTCTTTTTTTGTGTGTTTAGATGAAATGGTGTAATGGTAAATGCTCATTCATTTACAGGGTTTATGATTCAGTTATGTCATATATATTTGTGTGGATTGAATCAGACCTATCTTCATTTATTAGATCAAATTCTGACTGACACCCCACTTTTGACTATCAAACCACTATGACGTGAAGTGTGTTGGTTCATAAAAAACTTCGCAGCCATAGTTTATGGATTGCTACAAAGCAGATTCTTTGTTTTGTATCATTATGCATCAAATATCTTTTTGGACTGTGTTGTTCCAACAAATAAGCAGGTGAATGATTTTACCTTGGTCTCTGTTAAATGTTGACAGGTACTTTTCACTTTTTTAGAAGACAATTTATTGAGCTTGCCAAGGAAAATGTTTCGCCCTGCGGAAGTATTGTAGGGTGCTGTGGGTTAGTTGGATAATGCACCTTGTCTAGTAAACAGGCGATCCTGAGTTTGAATCACAGCAGTTTCTTTTCTACAGTGCAGCTCATTTCTGCTTGCATTAGTGTGGGGAAGTACAGTAACATAGTTTTGGTTAGAGCTATAAGAATTCAGTTCTACTGAAGCATCTGCAATTTAGATATTGCCAGATTACTATAAGTGGATTTAAGTGTCTGCGAAGTGGAGGTACCTCAGTTCAAGTCCCAGCTGTGCCTTTTCACCTAGCAGGCAGAGTGCTATTCTGAGGTGTCAAGTTGAATGTACTGTAGAGGCTCTTTTAGAAAAGCACAGCTCCTGTGTGTCATGCAGCATCCTTAAGTATAGTTCTCTGTTCTCTTTGTACAACATGACTTTTATTAATCCTTATTATGAGACTAGACTTTACAGTACACTCAGGAGCACAGAATACTTTCAGCCCTGACTTAGATAGATCTATTTGCAAAAGGGTTTTCATCATTTATTCAGACATCTAGGACTCAATGGTCAGTAAAGAACTTTTTCTCTTATGTCACTGATCAGGTACAAATAATGCATTGCTAATCTGCTCACTAGACCTAGTTGCGGTATGCACATCATCTTCTGTTGGGTTGTGGACTGTGGAGGCTTCTAAAGGCTGACTGTAGCTGAAATGGGATCTAATCTAAGCTGAAAGAGGATTTGTTTATAAAAATGTTTGTACATATACCTAAATTAACTGAATTTAACCACTAAAACAGTGTATGATTTTTCAGTTGTACACAAGAGGCTCCATGAACTGTGTTTGTCAGGGCTTTGTGTTGCAGAACACAAAGGGAAAAAATGGACTTTCACTGCTGTTCTAGTTTAGTTTGGACAAACACACCTGTCCAACAGCAAGAACAAAAAGAGTTTTAATGCCCTGAAACAGTTTGATATACAGACAAGATGTTACAGAATCATTCTTCACATTAATGCAACTGTTACAGCTAAAGAAATCACCATTTTATTTTTTAGCTCTAGCTTCAGTTTGCTTGTAAGCAGCATTTATCAGTTCTGACATAGGCTACTACTTTTGAACTCACATGGACAGTTGGTTTTGAGTTGCATCCTTTTCTGTGCTATGGAGCAAGATCGTTTGTAAGTTTGCTTTCAAAAAGCCTGCCCCGTGTGAGGCTCGAACTCACGACCTTCAGATTATGAGACTGACGCACTGCCTGCTGTGCCAACGAGGCCTGTGAGGTGTTTTTAACATGTGTTTTAGAGTAGGGACACAATACTGAAGGGTGGGGGTGGAAGCATCTGTGTGTGCAGGCGAGGGAGCATATTGTATTTCAACTGACATACCGGGGGGGGGTTTTTTTTGTTAAACTAAACACGTGCTCTAACCTCTTGCAGGAGACCACTGACAGTTGGACATGTTGTGTTTTTTATTTGTTTTTGCAGGATTTAAAAGAGAGGTTCAGACATTATGAATTGGTTATGTCTCTTTTAAGCCATTAACTCCAGAAATCTAAAGCAGACTCTGTTTAGAAAACACACAGCACACAACAGCTTCAACATAAAGTGATGTTGGAAACCTTGGAAAACATTTGACAAGAAGCACTCCCCTGTTTGTTTGGGCTGTAATTAGCATTGAGAGAATTGGCAGTAATTATGCTGCCTTACAGTAAGTGTTGTGTTCCTTTCTGCATGTTCCCCCACTGTTTCCCTTCAGTGTTGTTTGATTGTAGTATGGAGGTTTGTTTTACTTTATTTATTTTAAACAGCACTGGCTTAAATTTGAAGTCACACTAAACTTTAGCACTGTGGGAATGTGTCATTTATTATTATACTGTATGAATACAGGACATATCTTTGGCCTACATTACATTCTGTTTTAATCACTGATTTAACATTCACTGAGGAAAAGGCCTAGAGCCATTGCATTTTCTCCTATTCAACTCTCTTGTATTAGTGTCACTTCATAGTTTGATGTTTAGTTTCTAATCCAAAAGCTTGTCCATTGAGATTCTTATTTCTGATCTCATGTCCACACTATGCCATCATTTACACATCTGAATGACTCCCATCCACAGTACTTGTCGTCTCCTCAACAAGTTTTTAGATAATCCATTTTAATTTGTTTGCATGGTGGTTTAGTTGGTCAAAGTGCCTGTATTGTAAACAGGAGATCTTGGGTTCAAGTCCTAGCAGTGCCTCTTCTACTGTGTGTCTCTGTTATGCTAGTTTTGACTCCCCTCTACATAAGGATCTCCATCCACACTAAATAAGAAAAGGCTTTCTTTGTTTTTCCCTAATAGTTGGCATGTAAAAAACATTATTTGGTCTAGATGATTTAATCCTTTAAATTGTATTTATACTGTTTTTAAAAAGCTATCACTTTGCTATGATGAAAGTAAAAATAACAACTTTTGTTAAAGTTTCCAGATACACCTTTTCAAAGGTGTTCATATGGTGCTGTGGCTTAGTTGGTCAAAGTGCCTGTCTAGTAAACAGGAGATCCTGGGTTCAAATCCCAGCAGTGCCTTTTCTACTATTCAACTTTCTTGTATTAGTGTTACTTCATAGTTTGAAGTTTAGTTCCTAATCCAAATGCTTGTCCATCGAGAAAACCTTGTGAAAACACCTCCTGTCCACATTGGTTGTTGTTTTGGAAACAACTTTTTTTGGTATATAAAAAGACATTTTTTGGTCTAGATTTTTCATTTTTTGTGAAGTGAAAATAAAAACTTTTTTGAATTTGCCAGACAATCTTTTTCAGTCATGCTTTAGTTTATTAAAGGGCCTCTGAATTACGAGTGATTCTGGGTTCAAATCCCAGCAGTGCCGTTCTTTTATACATGTTCTACTAATGTTAATGTTTATCTTTCTAACTGAAAAACATTTTCATATAGAGCCATTTTTTAAATAAAACTTTTTTTTTACTGCTTTGTTATCCAGTCCTTTAAAAGAAGTTTCCCTTTTGCAAAACAGACAAAATTCTGAGAGGAGAGACACCAAACATAAGTCACTACACAAAAGCACACAGAGCAACAATTCTAGATATCTCAAAAGAAATCCAAAGTTTAAAGAAAATCACTGTGTTTTTTACCCAGGGTCTATCATAATTTAGCTGAAACTGAGAACTGGTCTGCTGAAAACTTTTTGGATTTTAAGTCAGAACGCTGTTTAAATTTTGGTGTCTAATATGAAGGTAAAATATACAGTATGTGCATCTGGTGAGGTCATCATCATCACCAGTTATACATGCTGTTTTGTTCATTCAGCAGACATGGCATGTCCACTTATCTATCTTTGTAGTCGTATACCTAATATGATGTTTCTCATCCTGCACATGGTTTGCGATGTTGACAGGGTGAGGAGAAGGTTATTAGGGGTTTGTTCATTGGAACATTTAAAAGAAGTGTCAGGCAAGAAGGAGATGAAACTAAACAGTAATTCCTCTCTTGCCTTATGTTGAGGTCACTGAGTTCATTCTTAAGATGTTTACAGAGACTGAACAGGATTGTAACACTTGTTCTTTTTTCATTACAGTACATGAATGGAATGGAAATCATCAGACACTTAAATCTCTGTCTCTCTCTGCAGGAGCTACAGTCTGAAAAAGGGACAGTTGGAGAGGGACTATGCACAGGTAAGACTGTCTGGATTCTTGCTCAATGCAAACACAGAACTGATTGTGAATTGCTAGTAAAATCTGAAATGTTGGAGAATGTGAATGGGGGGAAAGCCCATACGAAATGGCCTTACCAGTGGAGAGATGAAGCTGTTTCATGTTTGTTGGACACTTATGGAAAAGCTTCCTTTCACACCAAGGTGGAGGGAACATGTCATAACTGAGCAGTTTGTGAGGAAATTGTGGGATTTGTCCATCGCACAAATGACGTTAATGTTGTAATTCTCATGTGCATGTGGCTCACAATAAGTTGAATCTGCGCATGCGTGGCAGTTAAGGAACTCAACAGTGTGTCGAATGGAACTGGATACATGTCACTTACAAACATGAATGTGAACCATGAAGATTGGTGTTGAGCAACAAGACCTGTAATGTGAATGTACTGTAAGTGCACTCAGCCCTTCCCATTCACATGCATTAGGGAAGTGCATTCACTCAAGGGGTTGCCTAAAACCAACTCATCATTGTGTGGTAAACATGTGGATTTGATTTACCTTTTTCTGCAGTGCAACCTGGCATCAACCAGCAAGGTTCTGCATTGGCAGTCACATTTAAGCACAAATTCCTGGTGGCTTACTTTGTAACACTGTATTTCTGCTGTTTACCAAGAGATCGTCATGACAAAAGACAATATAACAGCTAGTTTGGTAACAATAGTAGTTAGTAATTCTTTAATGCACTGTAGGTATTTTGGATAGGATTTAGTAGTTTATGCTGTTCTAAGAACCTTTTTTTTTTTTATTCCTTTGGCTCTATTGTTGTTTCACACTCCAGCCCAGCAGGTGGCGGTAATGGCTTAAGTTGGCTTTCAAACCACCAATAAACATCATAAGAAGAAGAGGGTAATTAGGAATCTAGCTGATAGCACAGCAAGGTTCAGAGAGTAGAAGAAAGGTGTGTGAACACAATAAAGAGGTAAATGTACCGTAAGTGCTTGGAATGAATTGTAAACTGCAACATATGTGTGGAATATGCCTGCTAAGATGAAGTAAGCTTACATGGAGGACAGGCTTATCAAACACATGACAGGCTTGAGGCCTACTGCTTGATGTAAGCATGAGCAAACTCACATGAGGACATACTATTGTTACAAACACTGGCACCCCACATGGATGTGTCCTCAGTCCCATCCTCTACACCCTGTTCACCCACGACTGTGTCGCCTCCCACAAAGACAACATCATCCTAAAGTTCGCGGACAACACCGCAGTGATAGGTTGCATCACTGGCGGGGAGGAAGCAGCCTACAGGAGGGAGGTGGCCAGTCTGGTTACATGGTGCAAGGACAATAATCTCAGCCTCAACACAGACAAGATGAAGGAGATGATAGTGGACATGAGGAAGGAGAGGAGATCTCATCGGCCACTGTTCATCCGGGGGCTCGAAGTGGAGAGGGTGAGCAGCTTCAAATACCTGGGCGTCCACATCAGTGAGGACCTCACTTGGACACTTAACACCACACACCTGGTCAAGAAGGCCTAACGACGGCTGTACTTCTTGAGGAGGCTGAGGAAGTTTGGCATGTCACCTAGGATCCTTTGCAACTTCTACAGCTGCATCACTGTCTGGTATGGCAGCACTACTGCTATTGACCGCAAGCGCCTGCAGAGAGTGGTAAAGACTGCGGAGAGGATCACCAGGACTCCACTCTCTTCTCAGCAGAGCATTTACCACCGCAGGGTGCGTAGGAAAGCTGCCTCCATCCTCAAAGATCCCACCCACCCCCAGCACGGACTGTTCGCCTCCCTACCCTCTGGCTGGAGGTTCAGAAGTGTGAAGTGTAGGACCTCCAGACTGAAAAACTCTTTCTTTCTGACTGCCATCAGACTCCTAAACAGCTGAGAAGGTTATTACCAGGAAATATGTCATGTACTGTCGACCTGTACTGTTTACATTCTCATTTTGCACATGCATAATTGCACATTGACTGTTGAGTGCTGCACATGCTGCTCCCATGCAGCATACATTCTCTGTTATATTTTTATATATTTTTATTACATTGCTGCATTTGCTGCTTAAAGTGCCTTAGATTTTATGTTACTTATTTATCTACTTTATATTTCATTTGTATTTTGTGGCATTCATGTGAACGGCAAAGTAAGAATTTCATTGTACAGGGAAACACGTTTCCTAACTGTGCATATGACAAATAAACACTTTGGCCTTGGAGTGAATGCCAACACATGGTGGATTCTGTTGCAATATAAAAGGAAGCAGAAGTCTGGCTAGTTATCTGGTGAGCTATCTGAAATGTTTGGTGAGTTATTTTAAATGTTTGTTGGTTTGAATAGCAGTTGAAATGTTTGCTAGTTTGGTAACATTTAGCCTGACTTAGTCTGAGTAGATGAGGGGTTGTGTTGGGTTTGTGGGTGCAGGCAAAGAGGGGGGTGGTTCTGGGATGCTGAAACACAGTGTTGAGCCTTCTCGGTGTTGTGGGCCCAACTCAACGAAACACCAGTTAGTGAGAGGCTGCACACCTGATGACCCTGTAGACTTTCCTTCACTCCTTCACCCATGCAGAACTTGTGTTGGTGATAATAGTTTTGTACTCATTGGGCCTGTTAGTAGTTTATTCTTCTTTAGTTTGACAGTCTTGATAAAACGGTGGCTGGAGAGTTGAGTGGACCTAGCTCTCAGAGGTGACTGCTAGGGTCCCAGCCACCGCCTAACCTGAGCAAATACAATGGGGATGCTGTGTCAAGCCACATATTTGCTCTTTGCTTGGGAGAGGATAGGATTCAGAGATGCACTGTGTTAAGGGTAGGTTAGGTCTGGAAAATGGTGCTTATTGTGAAGCTCTGAAGATTTATGACAGAATGGTGTGACAGCCCCTCTGGAAGCAGAAACTGTTGGATTTTTTTACTAACTAATAATCACAATAGATTCTTCATCAGACAAAGAAGAAAAAATACTTATAGAGTAAGACCTTTATAGTAATACTATGCTAATGTATGGTACAGCTGTTCTTAGTCTTTTCTTAATATTTTAAAGTTACTTCTAGTTTTTAAATAGCTTCTTGTTTTATTGTAGTTACTGTATGTAACCATATTTTATTGTTCACACTTAACTCGCCGTAATGTAACTTTTGCTCTGGCTCTAAATGATTTTCCCTGCAGGTATCACTGCTCCATCTTGCATCGCTTTGTTCATGATGCTGGTGATGTCGCCTCTAATTAACTCCACCTCTTTCACATGAATGTGCTCATTGACTGATAGGAAAACCGAGACTTAACAGAGCTACAGCAGTTGATAACCAGCTTTATAGTACTGGTTATCTGGGGAGACCAATGTTAGACTCGGTGAAGCCAGATAACCCCAAGAGATCCAGACTAAGTTGAACTCGCTTTGTGGTACAGACCTCTGGTCTTCATCAAGGAAAACACTGCCTGTTTATACTGCTTTGAAATGCTACTGTAGGCACATTTTTAAGATTTTGCTTTTTGTGACAATGAAATTTAATCACATTAAGGTGATGAAACAAATTTATGTTGAGCGTCTGTGCTGTTTCATGAGCCATATCATCAGTGATCAGTCCTGAGGGAAGATATTTACAAGTTTTTATTTTCAACCATGGTGAGCATGATTGACTGCTTCCTTTCCCTGGAATTATTTTCACCCATAAGACAGCCACTGTGTAGTGTGCTGCAGATTTGTCAGGACACAAAACCAAAATACATTTCCTAGCAGAAGGCTGTATCAGCACGTTTCTCTTGCTAAGCATTAGCTGAATAGTGCCTGCCCTGACACTGTGAAAGGCACTGTATTTGGATGCTGCACAACCTAAGCCCCCCTCACATGCACATTCTCACACACACACATTTGTACACTCTCAGATGCAAACTCCTCCTCTGACTTAATGAAAAACATTCAAAAATATTACCCATTCAGCTCTTAACTACATATTAACAAATAATCAGTCTATGCAGCTGTCCACACGAACAACCCCTGTTTTGCAGCCTGAATATCCTCATTGCACATAGACATGAGAATGAGATGGAGAGAGTAAAGACTGGAAGAGGGAGGAGAGAAAAGTGCTTGTGCAGGTGTATATTCATTTGCATGTGGTTTGAATGATTAAATGTGAGTGTCCTGTGGTCAGCCTCTCCAGTTTCAGACACTCATTATCTCCCCCTTTCCCTCACCACTGTCTTGTTCACCTTAGAAATAGAGGTTGCTTAGCAACAACCCCCCACTCCGAAGGACAATGGTTTCTCTCATAATTGTAGGTGTGCACATGTATGTGTATTAATGTGTGGGAATGTCGGAGTACAGTGGTTTCTTATACAGATGAATGGGAAATTGTTTCGTCGTCTGATTAAAAACTGATTCTTTGCCTCTCTTTATCACAAGAGTATTTTATTATGGCACATCTGCCCTTGCTTTGTATATTTGTATCTGTAGACACTCAGGTAGTCGACCACTGGCGGTTACTCAGGGAAATTCCCTTCACTCATTGGGCCCCTTTTGGTGACAGGCAGAAATCCAGCCAATCAGCTGGTCCAATAGTGAGAGGAAGAGGGGAGTTGGAAGGAGGGTGCAAGCTAGGAGAGACAGACAGCAAGGCAGGGAAAGGCATAGAGATGAGCATGTAACAAAATAGAGAAAAAGATCGGAGGGGTGGTGTAGAGAGGACAACAGCGACAAAGGAAAGTGAAGACGCTGCCATTTAACCTTTGTCCTTTCACTGGGGTCAGCTGCAATTACCAGCCGTCAGTTAAAAGCTCTGTGGCCTGTGTGTGTGTGTGTGTGTGTGTGTGTGTGTGTGTGTGTGTGTGTGTTAGCCATCAGTCCCCTCCCACAGTCAACATTACTAGAATAGTTTTATGCTGGGGTCACACTTCTCTGTACTGCCCAAAAAGGCTGACCTGCTATGGCTGTCATCATGTGCCATGTCCCTGTGAACAGCCATACTACACTATTGCATGTAAATTAGCCTTAACATTATACTGTAGGTGTTT